GGTAGGCTGTGAGGGTGTCATCGCCGGTGGCTGAGGAGGTTGAGAGAGTGACCAGAAAATCGTATCGTTGAGGAACTTGGCAGGCTGTGGGGGTGTCATCGCCGGTGGCTGAGGAGGTTGAGAGACTGATTAGGAGGATCAGAACGACGAAGAGAATCGCCGGTGAAGACATCGTCGATGATCTGCTCTCTCTCTCTCTCCTCTTTTCTGGAGTTGATGGGTTTGGTTTGTCTATATAGAGTGAGGTTTTGGAAAGGGTTAGATAATAAAGGAAATGGGTCAATTAAACAAATGAAATGCTAACCATCGTTTAATGTTGGTATTAGATTAAAAATGCATTAAATTATAAGAGTTTATGATTATATGTGAAATACGTATTCAAATTAAAATTATTTTTATATTTTGTAATGCTTAACAAAGTGGACGTTTGGAGTTGGGTTTTTTAGTTAATGTGATTGGAAAATTGTTAAAAAAATTATGCTGTCTTTGGTGTGAAGTTCTAATTATGATGTTTAGTTATTATTTTTAAAAATTAATTATACACCACTTTTGAAATTTGTTGAATTTTAAAATTTGGCCTTCCCGGTTGTCCTCCCGGTCATCCTGCCGATTGACTGGAACAGTGTAAAATTTTTATTTTTTTATACAATTGGCACCTGTTATTTTTTATATATTAAATAAAAAATATGTTCCGAATTTTTTTAAATTTTTTATGAGCTTTGAATAAAATTTTGTGTTGTGTGTTTGGTTATGAGTTGTAAATTTTTGAATCAAATATTATAAGTCACATCAGTTATTTCAAACTCAATTTAAAATTCTTTTTAAAACTCATAACCAAATAAATTTTTTACACTCAAATCATAATTTTAAAACTTACAAACTCAAAATACAATTCTATTATCAAATCATAATTCTAAAACTCTACCAAACGCTATCTTAGTTTTTGTAATTCATTTTATTTGGAAATAAATTATTTTAATAATTTTTTGATTTTTTATGAAAAGATGTACAAAAAAATATAAAAAAAATTATGCTGTCTTTGGTGTGAAGTTCTAATTATGATGTTTAGTTATTATTTTTAAAAATTAATTATACACCACTTTTGAAATTTGTTGAATTTTAAAATTTGGCCTACCCGGTTGTCCTCCCGGTCATCCCGCCGATTGACTGGAATAGTGCAAAATTTTTATTTTTTTATACAATTGGCACATGTTATTTTTTATATATTAAATAAAAAAATATGTTCCGAATTTTTAAAAATTTTTTATGAGTTTTGAATAGAATTTTGTGTTGTGTCTTTAGTTATGAGTTGTAAGTTTTTGAATCAAATATCATATGTCACATCAATTATTCCAAACTCAATTTAAAATTCTTTTCAAAACTCATAACCAAATAAATTTTTCACACTCAAATCATAATTTTAAAACTTACAAACTCAAAATACAATTCTATTATCAAATCATAATTCTAAAACTCTACCAAACACAATCTTAGTTTTTGTAATTCATTTTATTTGGAAATAAATTATTTTAATAATTTTTTGATTTTTTATGAAAAGATGTACAAAAAAATATAAAAAATGATATAATAACTTATAATGACTTTTTAATTTTTTAGCTAAAATGTTAGTCCTCAAACAAGATCTTGTCATCTGGCAATTGACTTTTTTTAGTTAACTTTTTAATTTTTTAACTATTTTAGTTTAGGACTATAAATTTGTTTAATTTGACTTTTGTAAGATAAAAAATAAAATGATTATAATTTAAATATGATATTTTATTTTATTAATATATTTAACCTATTTTATTTTATTTCTTTGTAATTTTTTAACCAAAAAATTTATATCAAACGAAACTAAAATAATTAATATAATATTCAATTTTTTTAACTAATGACAGACACGTTATTGATGTTTTGAACTTTTTCAACAATAATTAACTTTTTTGAAATGTCAATAAACTCATTGGACCATAAATTTGATTTTCTTTTGGCCCTTAATTGATGGCTTGTTGGGATAGATGGGCTGCGGCTAAAACAGTCATAAAAGACAAAATAAGTTATTTGAGTCTAATAAGACAAAATATCATATTTAACCCATAATCATTATATTTTTTTCTCATAAAAAATCTAAAAAAACTAAAAAATTTAAAAAGCTAAAAAGTCAACCCACTTCCCAAATAAAGCATTACTTTCTTAAATTTTCTACACAGGCTTGCTTTGCCAAGCTAGCACAAAGTTAACTTTTGACTTTTTTTAATTAAAAAAACTAACTTTTTTACCCAAGTTACTACTCAAAAAACTAATTTTTTTGATTAAAAAAAACTAAAAACTTTTTACCAACTTCTCAAATACCACACAATAATCTAATGTCCTCTGACGGTTGTTTCAATACGAGGCAAAAATGTTCATTTTAACGTATCTATTTATATCAAATACTATCAATTACAAATAGTTAGGCGGGCCATAAATTCCACTTTTAGTTATGGAATGAAAGACTTAAATATGTTTTATTTTATAAATAATATGTATTTATTGTATCTTGTGATTTATTTTGTTGAAAAATAGGATCAATTCTTCCCAATGACATTGACATCAAATGTTTAATGTGAGGTTGATGCAAGTTTTTTTTCTTATATATTTTAGACAACGGTTACAGTAGGGAATTTTATTAAATTAATATGTATTATTGGTACT